TCAAAATATTCTATGAGGAAAATATTTAATATTTACTGAGTAGGGTTAAATGCAAAGAGAATATTCATCGATAAAATATGAAAAATATTGCTTAGTGAAATCCATCCCATACTTTTTAGATTCCCTTGATTTCATTAGTAGAATTAAGCAGATGCCAAATCTTTCAAATAAACCAGTATAATAGAATAGGGATTTGGTTCTTGATACAAAGGGATTATCACATTAGGTACACACAACTCCACTGATTAGTGCATTTTTCATTCTTTCTGCTCATTTTTCTGCTGTAGAAAAGTTGTACCAAATCTGTATAGAAATTTAAATAGTACATTCTTCAGGAATATTATTTCTTAAATTTACCATGATCTCTTTGGGAATCAAAAATCCTTTATGAAATGTATGACATGAAATTGCAAGCCCTTATTATAAGCAGTTAATACCTTTGTTTTCCTTGCAGTGTATTTGGGGTTCTTACTGGAAAGAAGGAAGATGGGGATATAAATGCTGCTACTCATTTGTCAAGTTTTCATATTGTACAGGAGAAGCCGGGAAAGAAATTGCTGTAAGATACAGTTTATATATTGGAACTATAAATTAACATTTTTAAAACAAACCTAATACTTAACTCTCTTTGTGAAATTGGATTTTTCTCCAATTTTTTTCCTGTACACAGAATGCCAGTGAAGAATTGCCAAGTGAGGTCCATGAGGACGAGCAGTTAACCAAACCCAAAACTCTAATGGAGGTGGGCCTCTTTATTGTTTTGTTTTCTTTGTAATGGATGGCTTTCTAACAAGCCTATTGCCAGTCAAAGACAAGAGAAGCTATTTTGGTATACAGAGTGTATTTATAATTTGTTTATCCAGTAGCCAGAAAGGCACCAGAAAGGATAGCAGTGGTATAATTATGTCACATGATGTGGCAGCTCCAATATTTTTTCCTGTTTTAGAAGGCAGAAGATTAAGTGAAATAAGTACATATAAGTCTTGAAGGGGTGCCATACATTTTGTTGCTTAATTTACAAAAAGTAAAAAAAAATAGACTTTCTGCCATTATTCAGTGGCAGGATCTTAAGGTAAGGCAAAAGAAAAATAGATTGCGAAGTGTAGGTGGCCTTCTGTTTATTTGTTTCTGCCTTATATGAAGTCCTGAAAACATGACAGCACTTTCTAGGCAGTTATAATGCAACTATTGTACAACAGCAATTATGCACCTGTTGCAGTTGTTGAAACTTTCAGGTAGGACGAGACTCTGCCAGGTAAGTGATATAGATACATGCATCTGCCCCTAAGAGGAAATTTCTGGGTCATCATGTGTCACTCCCTTAAGTACCTATTGCCTGTAGCTTAGAATACCCACATTCATGTCTGTCTGCATTTGTGTTATCCTCTTTTCCATTGCCACAGCTACACCAACAAAAACAAAAAGAAAAAAAGAAGAAGAAAAAGAAAAAGCATAAGAAGAGTACAAGTTCTGATAGCGAGGGAGAAGACAGAAAGAAACAAGAAAAATTGAAAAAGGTATGCATAAAACCACTTTCAGCTGTATTATCCTCAAATTCTCTGAAGTGTAACTGGCATACTAAATTCCAAAATGAAAATAGAGATTTATTTCTCTCAGTTCCCAGGCTGGAACTTCTCTCCCATCAGCTATCTTTCCAGCAACAGATCTTCATAAATCCATATTTATTTTCACAAACCCATATTGAATATAAAGGAAAGAAATTGTCTTTTCCAATCAGAACGCATTAGCATAATGAACTAAGTTCTGGTTTTCTTGGATTTAAAAGAGAATCAGAGATTCCTGTTCTGTCTTCTGATACCACTGTGAAATTATATTCTCAATCTATGGAATAGCAAGCTGTGTTCTCACAACTATATGAGAGCAAGTTCCTGTTGATTGCTGAAAGAGTCAGTGGATGCTGAAGCTTTTATATTTAGTATTAATTGTTGTTAGTCTCTGAAATTTGAATAAATTTGCAGCATAATATCATTTATACATTAGCTTAGAGTAGACAAATACATTTTGCTTCTGTGTTCATAGTGAGATGATTTTTTATTCTGTTCCGATATATAATTTATATTGGCCATTCGCTTGAATCCTTTGGATCAAATCTGACTTTCACATGACCTATGTGATCTATTACGGATTGCAGCTTTTTCCAGCTTTCTCATTACTTTTTCTGATTATCTTTTAGCACAGTTTCACTTTTTGTACCATATTGAGTGTTACCATCTGCTTACTAGATAGTTGTAATTCCAGGGACGACTGTAACACAGCGGTCAATTTATATTTTCAGGCACTGAATGCAGAAGAAGCCCGTCTCCTTCATGTGAAAGAAATCATGCAATTAGATGAGAGAAAGAGACCATATAATAGCATGTACGAAAGCCGAGAACCAACAGAGGAAGAAATGGAAGCTTACCAAATGAAGCGCCAGCGACCAGATGACCCCATGGCCTCTTTTCTGGGGCAGTAGTTTTGGGCAAAAGACTTGTAAGCTCATAGGACTTGTATATAGGCATCTAAACAAATCAATGTTATATGTGGTCACTTTTCCTAAACAAGTTGTCAGCTGATGTCCTGTTCTTTTGCATCATATTTACTCATGACCCATTCAGCCTAGGGATCACTGAATAGAAAAAAAAATGAGCCAGGGTTTTTTTTGTTTTGTTTTGTTTTGTTTTGTTGAGCAGGTTTGCTAATGTCCTTGGAAATTATAGTGCTGAATGAATTTCTGGATTAAAAAACTATTGATTAAAAGAGTCAGTAGATATTTCAGATATCAAACAGCACCCAATTGGTAGGGTCTGTTTCAAAAATGAACAATTGTTTACTTCCCTAAATAGATTAAACATGACACTGAGGAAAACTATCTGAATCTAACAGAATTCCACAATCCTGAAATGGTTTTCAATTTCTCAGCAGAATTTATTTTAGCATTTAAGCTATTAAAAGTGGTTCTAATATTTCATTTCTAATAGGTACCTTATTCTGTCACATTGAAAGATTCTGTTTTCCTATAGATTGTGGATCATATTGGCTTCGGATTTGGAAGGTTGAAGTGTCACAAAATCAGAATGGCCTAACGATGAAGGAATCTCTTCTACATTCTTTTAAAAACATTGTGATTTTCAACTTTTTTGGGAATTGAAGAATGAAGAATTCAAATTCTTATCGATTTGGAAATGCTCTAATTCTAACTATGATGTTTTAACAACATTGAATCTTGTGGTTCCAAAGGCTAGTTCATTAATTGTAACATATGCCTAGATTGACTCTGCATAGTCAAACTGAGGAGCTCAAATTGGAGGGAGGTTTTGCCACGTCGACATGGCAAGCCAGAAGTTAGTGAAATGCAGAGTACCGTCCAACATTAATATGTAATGCTCAGTTGAGAAGTAAAATGGATATTTATATTAGTTGATGTGTAATTGCTATATTTCCTGGCTTTAGTATTTAATTGTAGAAGAAAAAAGTCATTTTGAAGTAATTCAAATGAATAGAATCGACTTGGCAGTAGTATACATTAGATTAATAATTTTTTCCTGCATAATGGGAAATTCCTATGGATACTTATTACTGCTGTTTTTTATTTGGCTGTCTTTTGGGCAAAGTTATCTCTCTGGTTATAATAGAAAGGCATTGCTGACAAGCGAGGGGATATATTTTATATACAGATAAAAATGCATTTGGACCCTCAAAAAGAAGATACAGAAAATAATAGAGAATATTTTGACATTTGTAATTGTAGCATAGACAAAAAGAGATCCCATTTTGAAATGTATTATTCCAAAAATATGTAAATATTTTTACATAAGCTTTTTATTGCCTCAGTTTTAATAAGTTAATAATTCCCTTATACTAATGTGTATATTTAGGTCCAAGTATTGTTTTCCGGTGTTGTGCAAGATCTTACTAGTAGGTTAGACTCTTAGGAAAATTAGATTAATTTTAAAATCTGCAAGATCCATACTATCTTGTTTGAGGATTTTATCTGCAAAAGAAAATGTTTGTATTTCACACATTTCAAGTGCTTTGTTTTTGTCATCTGTTCTGAACTACACATTGAAAACCTCATCAAAATACTAAGTGTTTTAGATGCAAGAAAGCCAGCACACAACTAAGACTTGCAATACTGTACCAGGTTTTATACAAGAGAAAAAATGGGAAGAATAATAATTTTGCCCAGTAACCTTCCCGGTACAGTGGGTTTTCATTTTAAACTGAATTGTATTCTAGAAATGCTATTGATTTCTAGATCTGTCCAATTTTTACATATCAAATGCAACCCAAAGGTTTTTCATTTCCTGTCGTATTTGGGTTTTTTCCTAGTTCAGTTCTCATCCCATGTGTTTCCACATAATCTTTTTAAAATCTTTTCTTTATTTTATACTGTAATTACTAACAGCAGGAAAACCGACCCACAGTCTACATCTACTTCGACGTCTCTTTAGTGAGCGTAGTAGGAGGCTGATATCCAAAACAGCATATCACCACCTGTAATTTTCCTAACACAAATCACAGGAGTTTATTTACTTACCACATAAATATTGGAGTATGTTCTGGCATATTATGTTAATTGTAAAAAAAGGTGGTGCTAATTTTAAATATGAGCCCTGCTTTAGCCTAGACTAAATCACAATGCTGTTCTGCTTCGCATCTGTGAACATTTCATTTTAACGGCTTTTAGTTAACCTAAACAGAGCAGCTAAAACCTGGCTTGCCTCATAAAAGTCTAATATAGACTAAGCTAAGCATTTTGTTTTGCTGTTAGAACAGTTTATAAGATCTCTCTTGGGACAGTGCACAAACGCTCCCAGATTTCATACGAAGCAAAAGCCAGCACAACATACTATGTTCCAGTAAAGAATATACTTGATAATATTGTAGTTTGCAATGCTGGAACAAAACGGGCTAAGGCTGAGAAGCAGAGGGCAACTAAAAATAAATACAATAAGGCACAGTCAAAACGTCCTGATGTGAGCAGTCACTGATTTACCTCAAGGAACGACAAGCTAACAGACCACCAACATATGTTTTTGTCAGTTTTATTGTGCCATTTAATATCACACTTGAAAAAGGCAGCAAGAACCGGCATTATAGGAAATCTTCAACTCACAACCATTCCTTTAGTGACTTGAAGTTACAATGGTACTTTAAAAAGTGATATGACTTTTATACACAACCGTTGCAGCGTCCCATGGTCACATGATCAAAATTTTGACACTTCGCAATTGGCATTTATTTATGAAGGTAGCAGTATTCCTTGCATTTCTTTAAACCAAAAAAAATGCATTCAATATGGTTAAAGCTCTTTTGCAAAATGTGTGTATTTTATAAATGAAAGCTCTGTTTAAATAAAACTTTCTCCAAAATTTATGCATTAAGTTTGGAATCTTGCCACAAAAACATACTGGGAAGATTTCCTTAGAAGTATAGACAATAGACAGTATTTGTCACCTTGAGCATTT